CTGCTGAATTGCACTTTAAGAGTCTCATAGAGACGACATATTATCTTGCAACTGTAATTGCGTGAGCAAAGGTGTGATTTTTTGCACTTTAAGAGTCTCATAGAGACGACATACCCATGAGGCCAAACTTTAAGATCATCCTTAGAAAGTTTGAATAGCAAGTCAATGAATGTCTTGCCGTTGGAATCATTGGATTGTAGAGGTGGAGGATTAGTATCATCAATGACCCACATCCTGTTTCTGGCAAATCCGTGGTCCTCGAGGGAACCGCAGTTCCCAAACTGAATAACACAAACATTAGATTGCACATATCAGTCGGTGTCTGATGCTTACTCCACGCCCCTCAAATCTGTGTAAATAGAAAATGAAGCATGCCTGTGGGAAGCAAATAGGAATTCCACCTCTAATGGCTTTTGGTGGCTTACAAATTGCCTGTTTTGTGAGATTATAGCAATAAGATGGACATATGTATACATAATACAGTAATAATAACGATTACTCAATCATGAGCGGCTACCCGCATCACAAGAAAAACCCATAGATGGAAGGCAATTGATTGGCCAGGCATAGCGCACCTTGCTACTGGTGAATAATAATTCTTCACCATGGCCAGTCTTCCATGAAAGGACTTGTCCTCCATGAAGGCTTACCTGTACAGAGAAAGTAACAATAACAGCAACCTTGTTGAGCAAGAACATCATAAATATATCATATCGAAAAATATGCATCACTCGTTCTTAATCTTAAGGCTAGGAAACAACTAACCTGAACGGACGCTCCTCTGGAATTCCGAAGCAGAACTTGACCAAATCCATTCTTATCCTTGGTAAGTTCAACTCTCCCTTTCAGGTCCACCTCCACTGCAGAATGATCCATTTCAACAAGGCAAAATATGTATAAATGTGAAGAACTAAGCTTTCCCTGCAGTGTGGCTTTATACTGATCATTAGCCTTCTCAGTTGACAAAAACACAAACACCTGGTGCTCAAAACCTTACAGGCTCAGAAATCACTGCAACATTTGAGAATTGCCTTTATTTTTATTAAAAAAAGAACACTTTTCCTTCAAAAATGTCAACTTTCTTGTGAATATAACAAAAATCTCGTGAAACAAACCGAAATAATGACTACCCATCACTTCTTTCCCACCTCTAAAACTGGTGAAGGTTCAATTCCCCTTAAAACCATATCCAATGCACCAGCCAAGAGTTCAAGGGTTTTTTTTACGAAACTTTAGAAGTTTTCTTTTTATGCATGCAAGAGTGCCAGGTTTTCACGAAAATAGTCGACCAGGTTTAGAAAGTCAAGAAGCAAGCCACAAAATGATATTTTTAAGCGAAAAGAATAATGATTGTTTTTCTGATATAGTTTCCGTGAAAGAGAGAATGAGCAAAGATAAACGAAATCCAATCAACACAAATTTGATGCGTAATATATATACATGACTCCGTGGCCTTATGAACATGGGGAGAGAATTGAAGTTACGTCTTCCGTTTTGGTACAGTGATTAATCATTACTCACAAGTCACAAACACCCGCTGCGAGACGAGTGTTTGTGTGGAAGGAGAGGGGATTGGCAGGTGTCCCTAACTTTTTAAAATTTTTAAGGGCAATGGCGCAGCTGTGGCAAAGAGTCAAGACGTGAGTTTAATTCTGACAACTGTACAGAAAATTATATCAAGAATATGATTTCTGTAAGTATTAGATGCATGTTTCATTCTTTGCTACGGATCAAAGTCTAATTTATCTCTTTTCAGTCACTGTCCAGTCAGTTCTGAGAAGGCATGAAACTCTTTTTTTAAAAAAAAATTGAAGAATATTTTAAAGACTTCTTTATGCCAAAAAACCAGGAAGACGTTGCGTACTGTAAAAAAATAAGAAATGCTAAGGAAGTAAGATTTGAGTTTAATTTCTGGAAACTACATAGGGAGAAAATTATGTTAAATATAGTACATCTGCAAGTACTAAGTGTAAATTTCACTCTTTGACACTAATCTGAGATCAAAGTCTAATTTACCGTATCTAAATGAGTGTTCAATCAGGTTTGGGAGGGGCCCTCGAGAATGGGGAACATCCTCTTTATGTTTAAAAAAAGAGTGGTTGTGAGAAAAATGGAAAAAAATTAGAAGAAATTGAAAAAACAATTGGATGAAATTAGATGATAATGAAACACACTTGAATAAATTGAAAGAAACTAGAAAAAAACTAAAACGAAATAGAAAAAACTGGAAGGAATTTTTAAAAATTATTTAAATGCGTTTTTAATGTTTTATTATTATAAATGTTGTTGTTATTATTGTTGTTGTTGTTGTTGTTATTACACCAAAGTTCAAATGACATTGAACCTTGATGTCATGGAATGACCCGGTGGCGCTCCGGTGCCCCGTTCGTAAAATTGACGGTTCCTACCCCCCTAACCCCCCCGGTAAACCCCCTCACCCCCTTCAATTGCACCCCACAAGTTGATTTTGACTTTGGAGTCAAATTTTGACTCCAAAGTCAAAATCAACTTGTGGGGTGCAATTGAAGGGGGTGGGGGGTGTGTTAGGGCCGGGTCCGGGTGGGGGGGGGGGTTAACCGGGGGGGTTATGAGGGGTAGGAACCGTCAATTTTACGAATGGGGCACCGGAGCGCCCCCGGGTCATCCCATGACATCAAGGTTCAATGTCACTTGAACCTTCCCCTTATTATTATTATTATTATTATTATTATTATTATTATTATTACTATTATTATTATTATCATCATCATCATTGATGGGTGTATTCCACCCACGACCGGTCAAAAGAGAAGACCAATTAGTTGACTGGTCAATCTCGAAAGTTTTGGAAGAGAGACTTAAATCATCAGCAAATTGATATGTGATCGGCCCAAAGATGACCGGTATACTTCACGAAAGAGTATACCGGTCAAACTACTTTGTCACCCTATTTATTCCCTAACTTCGATGATTTCATCCCTCGGAGATTACCCGGTGTAGTTTCTAGTGTTGGAAAGTGTCGGCAGAAGAGAATCTAAAAGGGCTTGGCGTGTAGCGACCCATGTCAGTAGAGGATAGCTGGAGATGCTGAAGGAATGTCTCCAAGCCAGAACGCGACAAGGGAAGTAATTCCCCTCACAAGACGACAGGGCAACTCGAGGACGAAACCAGTCACCTCGCACCACATAAGCAGCGTGCCCCCACGTGGGCGCACGAGGTCTTGTCCCCCTTAACCTAGTATAAATACTCATGTAAACTTCAGAAAGAGGGATCCGGATTCATTCTCTCTAAACTCCCTTGTAAAAGCACCCGTGCATTCTGCGTTATAATATAAATTGGGCTACAAGTGTTCCACTTAAAGTCCTACCGGTCAATCTGCGTGTTTTTACCTTTCTTACTTTACCAAATCAAGCAAACTATTCTAGACCCGGTCTAGTATAGTTTGACCGATCGCGTAATTTACACCATCAATCATCAATTCATCATCAAATCATCAGTACCTTATCCACCCACTTCTAAGGCATGAACACTTCGACTAATAGTATAACTATTATTTTTAAATTTAAAGTATTGATCTTTTTCCCTAGGTCAATTTAGATTAATAAAACATATCTCTTTTTATGCATAATTTTGGAACATAATTTAGTGTCATGTAAATTAATAAATAAAAAAATTGTATTATTTATATTAAAAAATGAAAGAAAAAATAATAATGAGCGTGAATGAAAAAAACAGTGACATGAGAAAAAATAAGAAATAAAATAATTGAAATAATTTATAAACTATAGTTATGAACATAATAATAATAATAATAATACATCATTTTTAGAGGCATTGTTTAGGAGTATAAAGAGTTTGAAGAAAATAGAAATAGTTGGAAAAAAAAGATGAAATCCAAAAAAACTTGAAAAAACTACAAGTTACGGAGTAATAAAAAGAGGCGCGAGGTCGTTAGGCGGGAGGTGGGAACACCAGTACACCACTCCTCTGGCGCGGGGAGGTGATGTTGCTGTTCTTCCGGCTCCATTTTTGCTATTTTTTCATCTTTCTTCGGTTCTTCTTTTGCTTTCTTTTCTGTTTTTTTTTGCTGCTTCTTCATGTGGATAGTTTTTTCTTTGTTTCTTTTCCATTTTTAGTTTTATTCTTCGATTTTTATTTTGTTTACATTTTTTATTTTTTTTATTTTATTATACCTTTTATTTGTTTTTATGTTTTTAAATTTCCTCTTTAATTTTTTTCAGTTTTAAAAGTTGGTACTATTTAATTGTATTTTATGCTTTTAGTTTAATAATTTAAATTTAACCAAATGTTAAAAAATAGTACGTACCCTAAAAGGGGGGAGAAAGGGAAGTAAAAGAAAAAACTAATCTGAAAACACAACTCTTGTTAAAAATATACTGGAGTACATGAAACATTTGCAAAAATAGATATTTTTGTTATTTTAAATTTTTTACACAATAATTTGAAATTTTTTTGTTATTCCTTCAAAAAATTAATTAAATTATCAATACACAAATTCTAATAAATTTAGATTCCGGAACTAGAAATTATAATCCAAAACTTGGAGTCTGACAACATAAGCATGAAGAATGGAATTTAGATAAGTTTTCAAGTATAATGTTTAAACTAGCAATGCCTAAATAATCATGAGTTAAAAAACTTCGGTCAAGATAAAAATGCTAGAGTTTTATCTTTGGTGGGCGAGAAGATCACACTATTGAACTATTTGTAAAGATTAAAAATGTTTATCAAGATACTAGTAGTATTTGTTTATCACTCTAATATAAAGATATGTCTAATATGACAAAGACCTTTGATCCACATTAAAGGGATCATAGTTTGCTAATATGCCACTTAAAGTGATCCTTTCGATAATTGACAATAAATGAAAAGTAAACACCTAAATCCGGACAAATGGAGTATATCTTTGTAAAGTGGGAAGAAAGAAAAGGGACGAAAGAAAGTGGGAAGAAAGAAAAGGGATGGCCCAAAAAAAGAGAACGAGAAGTTTCAACGAGAACGGGGGAGTAATGACTTCGTACGTAGTAATAGGAAATTTAATGCGACTCTTCCGTGTCTTCCCGATCTTCCACAATAATGACAAACTCTAATATACATGCCGTTGTGCCAATACCCAAAGTCTATATTGGAACAGAGAACGTAATTTGAACGCATGTTAAGATGTGTTAGATACAAGTCGATTTTTGGTAGGGGGTAGGGATCCACCATGCCAGTGAGGGAGGGTGTGGTCATCATCTAAATAGATTTGCAAGAATTTCTGGATTCAGCATCTGGAGAAATGAAGACTGACCTACTTGTTTAGCCACGAGTCCAATCACGCGATCCATGTACAGCACATAAAGCCCACTCCTGCATTCCATTAGCTCCAGCACCTTACGTGCTTCCAGAACCGTCACTATCCATTCTTCAAAACGCCCTGTAAAAAGCTTACACAGCATAACCCACTAAGGGAAAAAGCACACAAACATTCTACTCCAAAAAAAAGTGGCTGTGTCAAGTAAAAGCTAGCACATGAAATGTAGTTCTAGGGAGCACAAGAAGGGTTTTGATTATATAGCCATTGATCTGCAGTTTGTACCCGTGGTGTCACGTTATATAAATTTTAAAATTTGTGATGGTATTACTCCATTATTTAAGCCAATAAGTAAACTGAGATTGACATAAATTATTCACAATCTGTAACCTATTAGCGTTAGATGCGGATCAAAATGGAGCAGGAGAATCAAATACTACTCTAATGATTTAACATGTTGAGATCTGAGAATGAAAATTAAATATGATGACTTGAATGGAAAAGTATGAAAGCGCACTTGTGTCAAACTCTTCACTGCCTGACCAGGTTAGTAGGTAATCTGACACCAGAAACTCAATAAGCTGGATCCTGCAATCCATGGCATGCCAAAAATATCAAAATGGCGCAACAATGAAAATATGTTCCACATTTCATTTACAATTCTAAATTCAAACTTAACAGTTTTCTTAGAAATTGAGCCTACACCTCAAGTGACTGAAAGATTGAGTCTACACCATGGGTATGAAACTTCGAAACTACAAATGTCATTTTCATAGAAATTGCATAGTATAGGTTGGTAGGTAAGTGGGACTACCTCATTTGGATCAAGGTGAGAGATGATGGAGGTAGAGGTAAGGGGAGGTAGGAAATACCTCCGCACAATGCAAGATACTTGTCTTCTGATTTAGTGGTAATCTAAGGTGAAGATTAGCGCTGGCCCTATTCCCCTAGTTTTGTTTGTCTTTATCATCTCACAAGAAAGTTACATACACATACGAGATTTATAACAGAAAAGTGCACACTGCCCAATGATGATAAGAAACTTACATCAGGTAAATAGAGTGGTGCATCTTTAGAAATGCATCATGAAATGGATCCATAAATAGCAACCCTTCAGCAACTAAAGAAATTCTCTGAGAAGCAGAAAGGAGTATACACTGCCCAATGAAACAGTCACTTCCAAGTTTGCGCATTAAATGCTGAATGTAGAACCTTACATCAGTGTCAGCTTGATGTTCTGAATTGTTATAAAAAAGAGCAAAACATACACTGAAAAGTATCATATTTGAAAACAAATAAAATTTCTGAAGCTTCATGTAATTTTTCTGTAAAATTTACTAATTAGAGTAATTACTTTACGAAGTCAATGCTTCAGGCCTCTACAAGCAGGAGATCAAACAAATCAATGAAGATCCTCACATGAAGTACGGACTACATAATTTACTTCACGATTCTAGAATGCTCTTATGATCAGTATCTAATCAGAGTTCATCGACTCTGCATACCATAGTCAACTTAGAAAAATTACAAAATAAAACATTTTAAACAAGGTTGACAAACCCGAGAAATTAAATTTTTGTGTAGATATTTAATGTCACCAGTCACAGGGATAGATGCTAAAGACCTTTTAGGCTTTGGTTGTCTGTGAAAATAAGTTGTGTGAGATAATTTCTGTGAAAAATGTTCTTTTTTTAAATAAGTTCTATTTTTTATATGATAAATAACCCAAAAAATGAAAAACTAGGTAAATATAATAACTTCCTCTGCTAAAAGAAGGTTAGAGGAAGCTATCTGCCACATACTTACAAAGAAAATGGAAAACATTTTCCACTTCCATGCAGGAGAACCCAGAAAAATAATTATATACGTGGTATATTTTTCTACTACACAAATGGTTCCTTAGTGAATGTTTGGTAGGCTTATAAATTAGGGTTATAAGCTTTATCCAGCAAATTTGCCACATAACACTAAATATGTGACTGTTTTGATAGAACTCGCAATAAGAAAAAAAATGATCCAAAATTAACGTTTTAGGTTTGAAAGTAGAAAAATGGCACATTCATCCTCATCTTGTAGGTAATATTTCCTTTATTTAAACATAAGTCATAAGTCTAACATTCAACAAGTGAACAAACTTTGGACAAAGTTTGCACTTTGGAGTTAATGATATAAGACAAACTTCCTACTTAACTCATAAAGTAACTTGTCACTTTGAATAAGACAACAATGCATATTAATATGTTATGTGGTAAAGATAAACAAAAATACAGCCAAATGTTTACCCTCTCGTGTTGCACTGCACATACTCTGCAATAGGCACGTAATTAAGCTGCTTAGAACACCTTCAACATGAATATTGTCTCCCACAGCTGATTTGGTCTTCACTGCGTCTTCAACCAAATAAATAAAAGTATTAAAATTAACAAGTGATCCACAATGAAACTAGAAACAATCCTGTCATAATAAGTTACATAAAACCCAAAATCTTATAATGAAATCATTACTTCTTCATTATTAATCCCTGAGCAGTAACATTTCTTACAACGAAGATCTCAACTAATAAACCAAGAGCTAAATATCATTGAAAAATTTGCACTAAATAGGACTAAAACATAAATCATTTCTCAATGTAGGACTTAACTTTTTTATTCCCTAAATAAGACTTAATAATGTCTAGTGAAAGGAATAATGTCTAGTGATGGTGGACATTTACTCGAATAATGACTAATATAATGGATAATGACCAATGGTCCTACATTGGGAAATAAAAACATATGGTCATATATTGAGAAAGTCATTATGTTTTAGTCCTATTTAGGTAAATTCCCCAATATCATTTCAGGTCTTTTCATATTTGGAATTTGATCACAAGATAAATTCATTATCATTTAACATAAAAGACTTTAAAAGGCACTTCAAGTATTGTGGAAGCAAGTCATCTTAAGAGTAATGGTGCATAATATCAAAAGGATGTGCAATACCAAGAATAAATCCCACTGCTTGGTGAGACCAGTTTTTAAATTTGCATTCATCCAGCTGCAAACAATAATGAAAGAAAAGCAAAAAAAAAGTATGAACATAGGGGAGAAAAATGAAAAAAACGTGCACTGCAAAGTACTTGGATATTGGAAAAAAGCACACAAACTAAGGCAACCAACATACTCTGGCCTGAGAAAGAGCATGACATGTGTCCACTAGAAAATCAACTGAAGCTCGTAGTTTCTCAACTTCACTGTTATTACTATATTCTGCAGTTACAAAAAATCATCCAAGGTGTAGATATTAACGTCTGAACAACATATTCGCTCGTGATGAAAATATTAATCATCTCCAAGTTTGAACTATAGCGTTTCTGTGAAATTACTGTCAAATAATCTAGGAATTTACACTAAGAACATCATCTTTGAAATCACATTAGGGATTGAGGACCTTTTGATTGAAAAAAATCTTTATTCTGCCATCAATACTAGCATCAGAGTCAGCATGCACGCACACACACACACACAACTTATACCGGTAAAAAGTTACACACAGTTGCAAACAGCAGTTACAGCACATTACATTATACACCCGCCTGAATTTTCACCTGATACATATTCTTGTCCTTTTGAGCCATCTGGCAATTTTCTCTTTCTCTCATTTATTCTAACTGTACACATCAAAACCACTCAAACGTTACCTAAAGAAAAGTCAAGGCAAAATTAAAATTGTTTGAGAGAAAAATGAAGACTTATATGAAAACAATACCTTGTCTGAGAAAACTACGGTACAAGACATCATTGAATCTGTGATCACAATCATCTCCAGCTCTAGTAGAACTGAATTGGCCCAAATTATCAAAGAAGTAGCACTTGCACAATGCATTATGCAGAAATAAATCCTGCTGCATGCCTTCTATGACCCCAACCCAAAATAAATACAGAGTAAATAAAAGAAACTTAAGATGTTATAAATATCGGGAAACAATACAAATTATGAATTACTTTATTGATCCAAGTAGAAGTTGATAGTAAGATCAAACTCATCTCTTAAATGTGTGTGTGTTTCATAGAGACCTGAGATTTTAATGTCTTCTTTGAGTCTGGCAATTTCTAGCTTGCGTTCCTTTGCCTAAAGCATATCTGAAGGATTTAGATTCTCTTATCTGCTTACTTTCACTGAGATCAAGAAGGTAAAAACAAACCTTCCGCTTCCATTTGAGAGCATCTTTTGATAGAGGATCAAATGATGACAACGACAGCGGCCGAGGCTGGTTGGTGTGTGTAAGCTTTGATCGAACAAGCGCCATAGCAATAGCCATTTTCAGCGACTCATTGTCCCCCAAATTTTTCGGTGACTTCTCTGCCATCTCCATCACTAGGTGAAGCTAGAAACTGCCACGGGATTCGAGAGACCATCATACTAAATTTCTTACACTTATATGTTATGTTCACACCACGTAGAAATTAATTACTCATTAAAACAATTGTTTGCTTAGTAAATAAAAATACGTGCTAATTATGCACGTGACCATTGTGCATTATAAAGGATTTAAATGTTCACTAATTATAAATTAGTTAATCATCAATTTAAAATGGAGGTGCAGTATTTTCATTACTACGAGTATAGGATAGATATTTTTGCTAAACCAAGGGTTTTGTCATGTAGGATCCTATTCCATTTAGGACTTCAAGATTTGTGGTGTCATCCTGAACCAATTTAGAATGTCGTAAGACTGAGACAATAAAATTTTTTATCCACATTTATTTTTTTTATCACATTTATAAAATTAGTATGCTCAAATGTTGTTTTTAATGTTTGCACATGCTTTTAGTATACTCTGTTTGCGAATTTATTAGGATGTTTGTTTAAAGCTCTCTGTTTTTTATGGTTTACAATTTTACATCTTAATAAATTCTATGTTTGCATTCTGTAAAATTTTTAACAACTTTCTGACATATGAACTATCTCGATCCCAAACCAAATGGAAGAAAGGACAACATCGAATTTCAGACCATTTCAACTTAAATCTTGGACCATCCCAACTTCTGTCTACCCCAAACTTCATCAAAAAGACAGAATTATCCCAGTGCCTCAAAAGATCTCGCCCATTGTGGAGTAAGGGAGGTCGGATGTACGCAGTCAGACCCCTATATTTAAAACATAAAGTGCTTGTTCACAGATGACCCATGATGAGCGTCAAAAGTTGCATTGACTAACTGCTACGGAGTACTTCACTGTTAAAAGAAGCACAGACAATTTAAAGAGCCATTTTACTTTACTCCATCATACCCAAAGCCAAAAAATAGTGAACCTTCGGCTCTTTTGGAGATGATTGGAAACCAATACTTCAATAAAACAGTACATATTTGGCTAAAAAATACTACTCTATAGAAGATTTTATACCGTAATAATTTATCACAATTGGCAACAAAAAGTTCCATATCTGGAGGATTGCCCTCCGTCTATCAAAAGAGGAAAGGGTATAAAAATTTTAAAAAATACAAAAAAACTAAAATGAAGTGGATTTGTTTACCTTTTTAACATGTTGACCATTATGATGTTTGTTAACTTCTTTAACGTTTGAATGTTCTTCTTTCTTTGTTCTAGACGTTTCAACTCCACACCTAAGACAAATTTCATTAAAATATACTATACACTTAAGATTTTCTTAAAATGCCAAGTTTGGTTATCCATTACGCAACTGTATAGAAGTCCCTGTCAGGGACATACAAGTTATAACCTTAATTATCATGCTACCACTCACAAACAGTGTAGTAGTGGCAAGCAAGAGTCATTTTCCATAAAGAGCGTTTACTACTTTAAGCCAAACATGTTTCACCAAAATCCGTTTGATAAAGGCACTACTAAGAGGGTGTTTGGCAGTGCGCTGCTTTTAGTAATTTAGCTTCTGCTTTGAGTGGAAGTGATTTTATTCTGTTTAGCATGTCAGCTTCTGCTTTTCACCACCACTATTTTATACACAGAACACCGTTTTGGAGAAGCAAGTATGAGGTGCTTTTGCTTTCAGCTTTTGTGAAAATCACTTTATCCAGAAGTTAATCACTCCCAAACAAGCTCTAAATAGAAGTATAGAACAGTACAGTTTTATTTAAAACAAGACTCAAAATAGACCACTGGGAGTTTACAAAAATTGATCGGGCTGGGGGGCTAATGCTGAATTAAACAAAATAAGTAATTAGATAGAAAGGGACCGTAGAGCACTAAAACAAAAGTTGATTTCTAAAGCATGATTTAATGATGGTCAAAACAGTTTAAAAGAGCGAGTAGAGAGATTGCAGGTTTTAAATGGTGGAATATAGATATCGGGGGTGCTTGGTTCATGTTCAACCTCAGTGTGCGTTAGAATTTTGTTCAAACCATATCATCAACCCAATGATAGGATTGTACAAGGATAACTTTGCCTTTACCCATTTTGATACGAACAACAGCCTAATTTAAGCCTAACACTCAGATTAGACTACTACTAGACTCTATTGCTCTTCCTTAGTTCTCAAGACAAGTCCTTAAGAATAGAAAGAAGCAATGCATCAACGGCAGATTAGGCATCACCCTGAATCTCATCCAATACTCTACCCCTAGACATTTGAATGAAATTGTTTGATTATATTGGGCTTAATTAGACCTAGCTTGTTAGATCATTGTCACATTCAGCTAACCTAGAATTATTCACCACAGATTTCCTAGAATCAAAGAGAAGAATTGTGTCCAGCTATTCTCTTTAGTCATAGTAAATATTTTTTTCAGTTTAAGATCATTACCAAACACACTGAAATGATCTGATATAGTATAAATGTAAATAAGCGGTCAGCAATTCCACCAAAATCACACGCAGTTAATTGAACAAAGCATAATGCTATTACTCGCTCATGTTAGGAAAATCAAACACGCAATCGGATATCCATGCAAAGAAACATGCCGTAAATCTAAAAGGAGAGTTTAATATGCTATAAATTGATGTATGAAACCTGTATTAAACAATCTACTTGAATTACAAAAGGAAAACTACGGAAAAGGAGTCTTAATTAGTGTCCCTCCTAACCTTCACTGTATGTTCTTTGACAGCTATGGATCTCCTTTGCAGCTTCTGACCTTCGCCCTTTTTCTTCTCTCCGCTCTCTTGCTGTGATAATAATGATAAAGTTAAAAACTAAAAATTAGTTCGTGAATCGTGAGTTATACTCTTTATGTTCGGAGTATATATTTAAAAAAACATATTTAAAATTTTATAAATAAGAAATGAGATGACTATATAATTTTATTAATTTATTAATGAAAATAGATAAAGAAAAATAATTATAACTTGACTATATGAATATTAACTAGAAAGAAAAATTTTAAGACGAGGAGTAATATATTCTTGATGTGATTGGTTTTATTAACAATTAATTTAATTTTCTTTAGTTTAATATGATTTTAATTGTCTATTTTTAATTCTTACCTAGTCTAATTTTGATAGAATAAATAATAAATAAGTTGAAGAGAATAATTTAAATAAGGACGAATAATAAGAATATGCTGAAGATAATAAATTCTTAGGCTAGAGCTCGAAAGGGATGGATGCAAAAAGACTTCTCACATGAGAATAATGTCTGGAAGTTATTACAGCAAACAAGTGAGAAAGGCCAAACATCTTGTAGTTCAACGATATTATTATGACTCTTCTAATTGAAAGGTCACATGTTCAAATCTTAATTCTTCATATTTAATTTTAGTAGATATTAACAGATAGTATATTGTAATTTTTTAAATATATGAGGTGAGATTAACCAAAATATCACGAATATTTTGAAAAAAGCCTCGATATGATTGTAGTTAGGGTATTTAAATAAATTTTCATATTTCAAGGTAGACAAATTTTTTCATGGATCTAAGGTTCGTGCTCTTTATATGGACCTTAGTGTATTTATAATATAAAAAAAGTGACCATTAAGCATCACTCTTCAACGTATTCTAAAGAGAATTGCGATTAATGTTATTTTGGGCTACACGTTGGATAATTGATTGTTTTTTTGTACTATTCTTGTTGACTTTTCATACTAAGTAAGAATTACTCCATCTGTTCCAAATTAATCTTTCAAATACTATTACTGCATTTCGATAACTTATATTTGTATACATGTTCTCATTGGTAATTTGTTCAAATAAAATATTCTTATAACTTCTTCTTTTGAAAAACTTTTGATATAAATGGACAATATTTTGCATGTTCTTTTGAGTGAGAAGAATAATTTGAGACTGAGAGAGTGTTTTCCTTTAACAAAAAAATTATCAATATTCAAGATAGTTAAATATGGAGCATTTATTTAAAGTTATAAAATTGATCTGTTATAACAGGAAATTTTCCATATGCTGGGCTATGGAAATCTGAGTTTAGAGTAGACTAGACAGAGAAGACAAGAACAAACTACTGAAATGAAATGGAAATATCTATGTGTATTATTGTTAAATTGCTGATAATAACATGATTATCCTCACAGATGGGGATGATACAAATACACTGGTTGTTGGCCTTACATGGTTGTCACTAGTTATTCTAATTTGCAAGACTTCTGCGCCTTGGGGTAAGGGAGTCAGGGCGATTCGGGCCTTATACCAACTCACCTCTTGTCGCGTTTTTTTTACAAATGGTTCGGGTCACAAACTTATCTCTCTTTGTCCCTTAGCATCCAAGATTGGAACAAAATGGAAAGAGTTCAAATTGTCATGCTTTGTTATTGTCTGAAGTTAGATATAAAAATATAAAATATATAAGGGGAAGGTATCCCACAAAAAAAGGCAACTTGAAAAATGTTACAACATCCCTCAAAGTTAAATCTATAAGCTTCATAAAAACTGTGAACCACAAATTGAGATGGACGCGGGTCGGAACGGTTTGAATTTTAGTTGTTCCGGTCCTAGTCTATTTTTTTAGAATATTTGAATCTTGATATTCATTTTTTATATATCTTTGAAAAAACAAATACTGTGATATTTTCTCTGTTATATCATTATATAAATAAATAAATGTATATATGCATACATATAGGACAATGAGACGGAACAGGAAACTATTTGTGTCCCGGTCCCGTGCCGTTTTAAAACGGTTCAAAATGAGTTAGGGATAAAATCTTGTCATCTCAAATAAAATGAAACATTACAGGGACGCGACCAGAATATTTCAGGTTGAGGTAATAAGATCGAGATTCTTGCCCACCCATACTTCTATGAAGGTATAAGGAATATGTGTCTATTGTCTATAGAGATGCGTGTATTATACTGGTGCATGATGTGTACATATACATTTTACGAGTACATACATAAAATCTTTTTATTTCTAAACCTCTCGCATATGCAAAGTTGAGGGGAGGACAAATTGAGAGACCAACCCCGAGTTATCTGAAATAATCCTCAGGTTGTGTTCCGAGTCTCGAGTCATACCACATACCACAAGGGCCGAGTGGGCCTGAGTGGGGCTACGATGTGGCCGACTGTCTCGCTGAGTGCATAAGATGATTGTCTCATCTAGTGCTAAGGAGGTGGAGCACAAACATAAATAAACGTGGCTAGGTGTTGTTAGTTGTTACTTTGATGTGATCTCGTGTTTTGGGTTTTGGTAGGTGGGATTCGAGTTATTGATTGAGCCAATTACCCATTTGTCTAGGGTGTCCGTAACCATATTTAGTCATTTATGATCAAATATATTACACATTTAGTTCTTTTTTTATGAGCACCTTTCTACAGATAATGCATTATTCGACTTCTGTTTTGTTGATATTAAATTAAAAGATAAAATGTAATTTTACAATGTTCATATATCTATTTCATCATATTCAATGTCTGATGCATCATTTAGCAATTGGAGGGACTATCTATTGTAACCATAGCTACAAATATTGTATTTGGTTGAAATCTCAATCCACAATAATAATTATAATTGTTGTATTGTCTGTCAAACCAACACCAAAAGTTCAAAAAATGACTATCTATAGAAATGTACTCATAAAACAAGAAGTATGAGCTCAATATTTGATTAAAAAAGACTTATTAATGCAAAAAATGTGTTATTATAAAACACCAATTATAAAATTTAATTATTTTTTTCTAAGTCTCAATTGTACCTTTCAAATTACTCCGTTCTACTCCTTCGTGAGTATAATACGGTTGTTGTTGTCACTGTTACCTGACGCCTTCGTGATTACTGTCTGACCTTACCTTGGAAAAGCTTTGCACTCAACTTTTCTGTTCGATCCAATTCCCAGATCCAATCATGAACGACGCAGATGTGTCCAAGCAGATCCAGCAGATGGTTCGATTCATCCGCCAGGAAGCGGAGGAAAAGGCCAACGAAATCTCTGTCTCCGCCGAAGAAGTGATTATTACATTCTTTTGCAATTTCGAGTTGAATTGTCTCCCGAGCTGTGTGTTTTTGCCCCTCGAGATTACCAGATCAATCGATTGAAATTATTTACATGTGTTTTATTTGCTATTGATTTTAGGAATTCAACATTGAGAAGCTGCAACTAGTGGAGGCGGAGAAGAAGAAGATCAGGCAAGAGTATGAGCGCAAAGAGAAGCAAGTTGAAGTTCGTAAGAAAATGTAATTTCACTCCTTAATTGCGTTTTGCAACTATTTAACTGTAACATAAGAGTTTCTGGTTTCCATTGAGTTTGTTATATAAAGTTTCAATTTTTGTGGATACTTTTGCCTAGATATAGAACTATTACTTGGTTTCATCTTGTACTTAATTTTGCATCAGCTTAAGAGCAATGGAAGATGTGGATTGATCACAGAATAGATCACTGATCACCACAATATGTTTAAGTTGCGAATGGCACTATATCTGGTTCTGAAAAAGCATAAAGTGGCCTAAAATTGATATGTGCTGTATTTGTTATCTTTCACATGTGTATTCTTGTGATTGATGGACTTTGCAAGACCTTCTGTAGCTTGCAGGGAAATAATAACTCCACTTTTGGCTTTACATGTAGTAGCAGAAGTAGAGATCAGCCTTAGAATTGTCTGAGATAAACACATGGGAAAAACAATCCCGTTTAAGCCCTTTGCTCGTCTATCACCTATTAAATGAAGAAAACAGATTATTAGAGGATACTTTTCATTAAACTTATAGCCATTGTCCTATAAGTACCATAATATATGTGCTATGGCGCTCCCCTTTTCATTTATTTCTTTTGTATCTACCTTCATCAGCATTTATGCATTGTGTGATAGGTTCACCATCTTCTTGAAATTTTAGTTCATAAAATATGACCTAATATTTGCTCAGTCTCACATAAATTGATTCTGAATCTTTCTACACATTATTACAAAGCATTGTGAGGCCTATAGCAGTACTGCTAATATGGCATGATGCATTCGTGGCCTCTACCCTTTGAGTTTCCCTTTTGATGCATTACAAATACGTGTTTCATTATCAATATGTGAACTTTAACATACGTGTTCAGGTCCATAGAACTAATAATACCATTGTGCATTTTTTAGCAGTACAGTTGTGCATTATTCCTTGTTGAGTCGCATACTTTTGTATAAGATTGTGCAGAGTGCAGACCATTCTGTAAACTCTAATGTAGTATGCTTTATAAAAAGGCATATTACCAAAACATATTCTTGAAGTTGTGGTCTCTTCTTGCAGTGAGTACTCGATGCAGCTAAATAATTCACGTCTTAAGGTTCTTCAAGCTCAAGATGACTTGGTTAACTCTATGAAAGAGGCAGCATCAAAGGAACTCTTGAATGTGAGCCATGACCACCACGGTTATAAGAAACTGTTGCATGACCTTATTATTCAGGTAGTGAGCTATTCAGGTTAAGAAAATGCATTTATCTTGTCATGTGTTTCCCTTTGCCGTTGAATCAACTCATTGGTGGTCTTATAGTCTCAGAGATCTATGCTCGTGACAAGCACTTTTTTGTTTTTTTATATTTTTATTTTCAGGATAAACTGTTTTACTCCCTCCATCCAATTTTGTGTGTCATGCTTTCTTCTTAGCCTGTCCCAAAACATTGTCCACTTTCCTAGAATAAAACGTGAAACATTATGATTTTCCTGGTTTACCCTCTAAACATCCAATTAGATGCACCTTGATAACTGTTCCTTTGGTGTACCTTTTGAGTGATTTAAGGATTGAATTCTAATCACATAGGAACAGTGATTACATTCCAACCACAAAAAAGAAAAGAGGTGAAGTGCTTGTTTGGATCCAAAAGTTCCATTCCTGAAATTTGGATTAGACATCTCATGTCAAGTGTAAACTCTTGGAAAACAATGATTGTTTCCAAACAGCCTCTCTACTTTTGAGTAGGGATAGGGTTTGCATGCACATACCCTCCCCAGAGGCCCAGACCCTACTATAATCTCGTGGGATTCTACTGGGTTGTTGTTGTTTATGCATGTCAAGTGTAAACTCTCTCTCCAAATTAAAAGCCGGAAATCAGAAGAGGACGAACTTTTGTTAGGCTCGTAAATTTCTTTAAAGTACATATGTTTCAATTCTAGGCATGGAGCATCTTGTAGGAAACATGATGAATTTACTGTTGTTCCTTCTCCCTTAATTGTTCTACTGGATATCGGGTCTCTTCAGGATTCACATCTAAACCTCTATGCATTTTAAGTTTTACAACCTCTTATGTTTGATTCAAATACAGTCGTTGTAGATGCTGAAATGCATATGCTTGAATGCTTTGATACTTGAAGCACGTGATTCATATTCTTGAGGACAACAAGCCTGTTTGGCATGGCTTATTCAACAATCAATAAGCAATAAACATTTAAATGATGCTTCTACAAACTGGATTTTGGAGAAGAATTAAGCATTGAATTGTGATTGGAGAGGCAACATAAGTTGGAAAGCCAAACAAGTCAAAATCTTGGTTGGAGAAACAATAAGCCACAAGCATATTCCAATCACAATTCCCATCAGGGCCAATACTGAATTGGTAGTCTGAATTTCTCCGCTTTCAATTATAACTTTTAACACACTGTTTCAGAGTCTGCTCAAACTTAAAGAGCCTTCTGTTTTACTGCGTTGCCGGAAAAGTGATGTACATCTGGTGGAACAAGTGTTGGAGTCTGCAAAGGAAGACTATGCAGAAAAGGCAAGGGTACACACACCTGAGGTCATAATTGACCACATCCACCTCCCACCTGCTCCTTCCCATCACAGTGCACATGGTCCTTCCTGGTATATTAGCTTGAACTATATTCATTCTTAGGTCACCTGATGCAATCGATAGAAAGTCACTTGTACTATTTTAGCATCTCTCACTAATTTGCTCCCCCCCCCTTTCGCACAGCTCGGGAGGAGTGGTATTGGCATCTCGTGACGGAAAGATTGTATGTGAAAACACTCTAGATGCTAGATTGGAAGTTCTTTTCCGTAAAAAACTTCCCGAGGTACTCTATCGTTCACATCTCTCCTTTTTTCCCCCCTTCAAGTATACACTCCATATATTTTTTGCTCTCATTCTCTAACATCAATTGTTGATATAATAAAAACTTAAAGAAAAAGAAATGTTTGGGCTTTATACACTTGTCCCGTGGTACCTGTATATGCTTTAACTTGATATCTTTTCTGTTAACTGCAGATCCGCAAGCTGCTCATTAGCCAAGTTTCATACTGATGTGTTGGAGGTCTTTGTGTTTGCTTTTATTTATTCCTTCATCTCCAAATTCTTGCTTCTGTTTTTTTTTCTCATTATTTTGCAGTTCTCACTACTATACTTATGTTCCGATACTAAAACTGCTACTCGTCCGCTGAGAATCTGGATTCGGACAGCGTGTGTGATTTATGTGTCATTTTTTTTATAAAGTTTGTAATAAGTGTAAATTGTGGAATCCCATGCTTGGTTGGTTAAGAATTGGATAATAAAAGTTCACTTCAGACTTTGTTGTACGTTTTTGCAGATGACATGACTTCTTTTAATCGATTTATTTATGGTTTTTTTACCTTAACTTGCAGTTTGTTCCATTTGTGGCATTGTGACGAACACATTGGGGAAAATAATAAGCATTGGACATGGCATCTTCATGTATTTCATCTCAAAATAAACTCTGTATTTAAACGTCGCGAGACTAGCTTTTTAGAGACAAGAAAAAGTGTAAATTAAATAGAGGGTTTTCCAAGTTTATTCTGCCCACAAAGAAATGCCCTTCTGCAAATTTTTAAAGAGAGTATTTTATTAATGTTCTTTCCCTTCCAAAAAAAAAATCTTGTTTTGGTTTATGATTCTTGACCAGAGTTGTTTAAATTCAATATACTTACAAATTAGTCAAAAAATCAAAAATAAAAATTATACTTTTAAAAACTAAATCAATAATTTTACAAAAAAAGATGACTTGATTATTTTATTTTGTCAAGGGATCAACAAGAATGCATAAAAAAAGAGAACAATTTGACTAGGGGTGAGCGTGGTACGGTATGATACAGTATTTAGTTTGTATTGATGTTGTATCAAATGTTTCAGTTCGGTATGATATTTTATGTTGTACTGATCCGATCCTGAAGCATCGGTTTGGTATGGTTTGAGATGGTTCAGTATCGGTTTCGGTACAAATCAGGATGACTGTATACGTACCTACTTTACACCATAAAATGTAACAAAACCTTTTATTTTTGAAAATCCGAAAGTATATTTAACCAAAGAAAGATAAAAAATTTAAAAATGAAAAAATAAAATGCTAGAAATGCTTATGAAAGTTAGTTTATATTTCACAAACTAAAAAGAACGAGTGATAACAAAGTACTATTTCAAATGTTTTTTAATATTCTTATACTCACCTACAAAAAAATAAAAAACTCTTGTTAAAGTGTAACTTACACATAATGAAATTAAACTAAATTGTCTATATAAATTTTTGTAATGAAGACATATAAAAAAATTATTATTTTTATAATATATTGGTATATATGTTCTGTTCGGAAATTTCGGTATGGGAAGCTACCTCGTACTGTTCTCAAATACCGGACCGACCGTTCGGTTCGGTACAGTTTGGTTACTTTGCGGTACTTTATCGGTTCAGCATTTTTCAGTTCGGTAATCTCGGATTTTTTCGGGAAATATCAGGATCGGTTCGGTACTCGCGCACCTTTAAAATTAATTTGACTGTGAAATAATGAAGACGATTCTTTAATTTTTTTTATTTGAAAAAGGGAGTATTTTGTCTTTTGTTTAACGTACGCCTCAATCACATTCAGATAATTGACTCTTTTGTTTATACTACGTAATTTGAAAGTGTGGTAGTACATAATTATTCTTACATAGCATGAAATTAATTAATTAAAGCAATGTTTTTTTTTTCAAAAAAAATAAATAAAAAATTAAAGCAATGTTCTCTCATCATATCCTTCGCACATCTGAGCGCACGTAGATTGTGTCCGCACAAAAACTTGTATGGTCCAAAACAATTCTTCCAAGAAACTGGTAAAAGTTCGTAGTTTGAAAGAAAGAAAATGGAGAGAGAGAGAGAGAGAAAAAACAAAGAGAGAATTGAAAAAAGAAGGAGAAGAGAAAGAAGATGAAATAGTAAAGAAGGAAAAGAAATATATATGAATGTGGAGAAATAAACAATAATGTGGCTTCCGAGCACAAAAGGAAGCCCAAAGGGAAGGAGATCGGGCGGGAATGGGTTGGTGGCGGTGGCAATAGACAGAGACAAATCCAGCCAATATGCCATCAAATGGACGACGGAGAATCTGGTGTCCAGGGGCCAAACCGTCATCCTCATCCACGTCGTCAACCATGCCGCCGCCGCCACTAACAAGCACCACCACCATTTAGATAAACACGCCAAAGATTTGTTCCTCACTTTCCATTGTTTCTGCACCCGTAAGGATGTAAGCTCATATATATATATATATATATATATATATATATATAATACTCCATTTTCATTTCGTTTTGTTTTTTGAAGTTATACAAAAAGAAAGGATTGATATTATATTTATATCAAAACAAAACATATTCTTCTTAAACTTTGATCCGGAAAAGCCAAACTTGTATTTTTAATCCTGAAAATAAGAGTTTGTATAATGATATAATATCACGTCGCATCCCAGTGTATTTTTTAGTACTCCGTACTATATTATGATATTGAACTTCTATTTTGGAATAAACTCCTATTTTAATATTTTCTCCAAGTTTTACCCGTAGCTTAATCATTTTCTTTTCAAATCTTATCTGAATTCATGAAGTTCAGATTACAATAAGAATAAAAATAAATTGAAGAGTTATAATTTTATTTTTGAAGATAAAGTAATTCTATTATAAGAGCATTAGAGAAGAAGAATAAGATTGAAGTAAGATTGACATGAACATGCAGATACATTGCATAGACATCGTGGTGGAAGACACCAATATAGGCAAGGCGTTGGCGGAGTATGTCTCCAAAGCCGCCATTGAGAATCTGGTGCTCGGTGCTTCCCGCCACAGCTTTCTCAAGTTCAGTCCTTCCTCATCAACCCCTTTTTTTTCTTCTTCTTCTTCTACTCGAATTGTTTGTTACTGATGATGGCTTTGATCCCATCCATCCATGGGAGAAATTTGCAGGAGACTGAAGGTGACGGATATCCCGACTACCGCTTCAAAGGCGGCGCCGGATTTCTGCACCGTTTACGTGATTTCCAAGTCCAAAATCTCTTCCGTCAGAAACGCATCTCGTCCCGCCCCTTTCGCTTCCCCTCTCTACAACCAGATCCTTCAGATCCAGGACAGCAATCCCGTTCTTCCCGACATTCGCCCCAGAAACAGTCTCAGAGGTTTGATTTTGTGCCGAATAATCGAGTGTTTCTACCAGCTGTTGTTTATGTTAATTTCATCTCGCGATTCTCATGCGTTTGAAGGATTCGATGAGAAACATCTGAGATCTTTCAAGTTAGATGACAGTGGATCGGTTAGGTCATCGTTTGAGCGAGGGAGAGGTATTCCGAGGAGGGCGTTTGGGGAGGAGCCAGATACGGATCTATCATTTGTGAGCTCCGGCAGGCCGAGCAGCGATCGGATTTCGTCTGTGTTTAATGATGCCGTGGATCCTGGCCGGATCTCTCACGTTTCGTCCAGCTCTGATGGAAGCTATGGCTCCGGCCGTCTCGGAAGAGGAAATGATCCCTCTTCTTTCACTGATTTCTCTTCGTCCTCACTTGAAAACGTAAGACACGACAATTTTTAAAATGCTTTCAGTTTCACTTGAAGTTCAATCAATGCTTAATCGAAAGCATTTGCAGGACGATGTGGAAGCTGAGATGAGGAGGCTGAAACTCGAGTTGCAGAAGACCATGGATTTGTATAGCACTGCTTGCAAAGAGGCACTAACTGCTCAGCAAAAGGTAAGAAAAGAATAAAACAGATTCCACATGCCGAGAGTACTCTGTAGTTTACATTATAATGGACTAAGAAGAGAATAAAAGGACAATGGGGTTTTTATGACTTCATATTTTAATATGGAGCATTACATTGCATCATTAGAAAAAGAATCTTGCTCGAGTGGGTCCGTTATGTCGACTTTGAACCATTTTTAGCGGGTCATTTCATGTTTGGTCAATTTCAAGTTTTAGTCACAAAATTGTTGTTCAATTTTTTTTAATAAAATCTCAGATAATCTCAGATAACCTGGGGTCGAGTAAATTTTTAACATGTCTAGATTAGATAATGAGATTGATTTTTTTTCGCTCTCAAGATTGATTTGGTCATTTACATACATTACAAATATATGAATTGATTGGTGCATACAGGCAGCAGAACTCCAGCGGTGGAGGGTGGAAGAGGAAAGAAAGCTCGAGGAGGCTAGACTCATTGAGGAAGCAGAAGAAGCATCAAAAATGGCTGCACACATTGAAAAATCTAAATCTAGTCTGTCACCAAGGAGCAAAAGAGCTGAGGGTGAAAATGAAGACGGCGAGAATAGGATGGTGATGCCTTTAAGGTATAGAAGGTATAGTATTGATGACATTGAAGAAGCAACAGAGTACTTCTCAGAGTCTCGGAAGATTGGGGAAGGAGGGTATGGCCCTGTGTTTAAATGTTACCTTGATCATACTGTGGTAGCTGTAAAGGTTCTACGCCCTGATGCAGCCCAAGGAAGAGCACAGTTTCAACAAGAGGTATGTGTACCAGACAAGAGGTATTGTGCTAGATGTCAATTGTCATTACGTTGTGCATATATCTATAAGCAAGTAAGCCACTTGTTTTTAAACCATGACATGTACATACAAAATTATCTTCCAAACATTTTCTTTAAAACTAATGGAATAAAATTTTAATTAAAACAAGTACGTACAGTAACTTTTATGAGCACACAATCAGTTTAGAGTTTGTCTTAGAAATGCATTCTTAGTTGTGTGTGCTTAAAGTTAGCTTTAAAGTTGGCCTTGCAGAGTGAAGAGTTAATGTGGTGTTGCTTGTGACAAATTAAAGGTTGAGGTGCTGAGTTGCATGAGACATCCAAACATGGTCCTACTTCTTGGAGCCTGCCCAGAATACGGATGTCTGGTGTACGAATACATGGCTAATGGAAGCTTAGAAGACCGACTAATGAGGCGAGGCAACAGACCAGCACTGTCATGGCAAGTCAGGTTTAGGATAGCTGCAGAGATTGGCACTGGACTATTGTTTCTCCACCAAACCAAACCCGAACCCATAGTCCACCGCGACCTCAAACCGGCTAACATCCTGTTGGATCAGTACTATGTCAGCAAGATTGGTGATGTCGGGTTGTCAAGACTGGTCCCACCCTCTGTGGCCGAAGGCGTGACACAATTGCGAATGACATCAGCAGCTGGAACATTTTGCTACATTGATCCTGAATACCAACAGACAGGAATGCTTGGGGTGAAGTCGGATGTTTACTCCTTTGGGATTGTGCTTCTCCAGCTGTTGACAGGTAAGCCGGCAATGGGAATATCTCATGTGGTTGGACGCGCCATTGAGAATGGAACATTCTCCGAAATGTTGGATCCTGTTGTGGTTGATTGGCCGTTTGAAGAGGCGCTGGTGATGGCCAAATTGGCTCTCCAATGTGCAGAGCTCAGGAGAAAGGACAGACCGGATTTGGGGAAAGAGGTCATGCCAGAGCTTCGTAGGTTGAGAGAATTAGCAGATGAGAGTATAAGCCAGTTCTTGCTTAATGGCTGTGCAGTGTCGTCTCCCAGTCACAGTCAAGCCTCTATGACACAAGTAAGCCACTTGTTTTGTAACAAATTACTTTGGGTCATCTACACTGCCCCCAAACTTGTTCCCTTCATGCCGACACAGTTTCACATATAACAGTCTTGTGTCTTGTGTGTGAAACTGTATGCCTATGTGAAGGGTGAGAGCAAACTTGGGGGCAATTTGTCATCTTCCAATTATTTATTTAGTCTCAGTTATTTAGTGTTAGCTTCGGGCTGTGCTACAATGCCCCCAAGTATGCCCCAACCTTATCCCCACTTCTTTCTTTATACAGAAACACACATACATGACTTCACATGCACAATAGTGTTTGTGAGCTGATGTCTGTGCACAACCAAGTATAGTTTTTCTGCAAAGGTTAACGATTTGGACTAAAGTTGCTATAATCACATATCTCTTAAAAAAAGTGTTAGAAATCCAGGAAACATTTTTGGCAAAACCAAGCCTCTTAGAAAGTTGTGCTGTGATGATTTGCAGGAAGTATTGAGCAATTCACAAGTACACTCAGAAATGAACAATCCAATTAGTATATCAAACTCATCAATGTCAACAGATTATCAATCAGGTACATATCAAGAAGCATATTGGTTAAAAATTTACTCATTCAGCTTGGATTTAGTCTTCCTCTCTTCTTTTTTAGTATCTCCAAAATCAATTGTCCACTTCTCATATTTAGTACTCCGTAAATAAATCATTTGAAATTATGAAAAAAAACACTCCTCCATAGAGAGCATCTTACGAGTAGTGTTTATTTAGTTATCCAAAGTCTAAACGTCATTCCTTAAAGGTGAGACATTTTGAAAACGGACAACTAATTTTGGACGGGGTGTAACACAAAATGTAGAACACTTTTCTTTATATGCCCTACATGTCCCATAATTTATGTTGTTCTTGATATGCAGGGCCAGCTCAATGATTCAAATCCAGCACATACATCTCAGATACTCATATCCACTTTATTGCTTCTATTTTGTATTGTATTGTACAGAAGTGACCTGAAGATGGCCAAGCTAGAATAGCATTGACCATTTGACAAAATATTTTTCTGAAAAATGATGATCTGAGTAGATTATAGACACTTCTGCAATAGTAGAGGAGGAAATATAACACTAACTTTTCACTTGTACAGTTGTTTGTAAGTATAGAGTAGCCAAGATCTAAATGAGTGTAACATAGGATTAACATTTGGAGCATTGTAACATTATTTTTGTTTTTTTGAAGCAATGGGACATTTGAGGCAAGTATTACACTAGTTTTCTTTAACTCTCTAACTGAAAGTTTTTGTAACGCACGAAGTTCTCCCATGGTTCTCTGATAATTTTCATGGTTTGACTTCTCAGAATCTATGAAAACACATTGAAAAGTTACAAATTGGTTGCTTAATGTTTTTAGAAGAGTGAGTGTAAGCCACACATATTTTTCTTCAAAAAAAGGGAAGCGTGAAATTTTGTTTTGGGACAAACGAAAAAAGAAAGTATGAAATTTATTTTGAGATGGGAGAGAATAATTTAACAAGTAGTTTGTGAATTGTTTTGAATTTCATCCATGCATATAGTTTGTGGATGATTTTATTTTAAAGAAGTTTGTGAATAGGGATGGCAACGAGTCGGGTTCGGGTCGGATAGTACTATACCCGAACTCGACCCGACTTTTAAAACCGAAACCCAAACCCGATCCGAAACCCGACTTTCTAATCCAAAAACCCAATCCGACCCGAACCCGACATTCCAACCCAAAACCCAAACCCGACCCGAACCCGACTTTTAACCAATAATCAATTCAATGTATCCCAATAATTTTAAAAAGATTAAATCTAATTTTTTTGTGTCTCATTTTTTATTAAGGAATTATAAAAATGTTATAAATGGCATACTTGATATAGTAACATTTTGTCAAGAGATTATATGGAGTGCTCATTATATCTATAGATAGGCTTTTATGTTATAAAATATTCGGGTTTGAGTCGGGTCGGGTGCGGGTTCGGGTCAGGTCGGGTAAAATAATAAACCCACACCCGACCCGACCCGACGTCGGGTTCGGGTAAAAAATTTCGGGTCGAGTTCGGATTATTTTATTCTCGGATCGGGTTCGGATATTTTAGTGGTCGGTCGGGTCGGTTAAGCTCGGGTTCGGGTTGAATTGTCATCCCTATTTGTGAATGGTATTAATTGGGAAAAAAATCTTTACTTCTTAAATGTGGATTTAGTATTTTTGTTCTTTGCATTCATGATCTTTTAAATTTGTACGCAATTTTTTGTAAAAAAAATTTGTGTTTTTTATACAAAATTGCTTTCATTTCAATATTTGAATTATGAATGTTTGATTTTTTTGAAATAATATTTGTGTGATACGACATCATATTGTTTTTTTTAAATTAAAAGGTATTAAATAATGTAAAATTTATCACGTACGAATATGATATTGCTCTTAATAAAGACTTCCTATCCTAGTCTCCCGCAATATATAACGTACAATCGGTCAGATGATTTTCTCGTACATCTACAATGTGTACTTATTTACGAGCAACAAAATACTCATTTTCAAATAACTAAATAATTATGTTTTTCTAAAATTTAGTTATGCTTAAGAATAAATATTCAAATTATTTGGAAATGTAGATTCAATTAACACAATGGGGGTGTATGGTAAAGGTGAGTCCCCTACATAGTTCATTGGCCAAAGCAAGAAGGCGACAACGGCTCTTGGTTTTTGGGGTTGGGTGGCTTTTCCCCAATTCACCGCCCTCGACGACTCCGCCATCTACACATACCTAACCTCCTCCTCTTCCTCCTTCCCCATATGCTCACTCTCTCATTTCTTCTTCTTCTTCTTCTTCTTCACTCCGTTGCCAAAACCTCTTCCCCCCGATCTTGATTTTCCGGTACACCCATTTCGTCCCCATGGAAGGAGGAGCCGCCGCCGCCGCTCAAGCTCTATCCCGCATTGGACTTGCGGGTCTCGCCGTCATGGGCCAGAACTTGGCCTTAAACGTCGCCGACAAGGGATTCGCCATCTCCGTCTACAATCGGACCACCTCCAAGATCGACGAGACCGTGGAGCGCGCCAGGCGGGAGGGCCAGCTTCCTCTGTTCGGCCAGTACAATCCCCGCGATTTCGTGCTCTCGATTCAGAAGCCCAGATCCGTTATTATCCTCGTCAAGGCCGGCGCCCCCGTCGATCAGACCATCGCCGCCTTGTCGGAGCACATGGAACCCGGCGACACCATCATCGACGGCGGCAACGAGTGGTACGAGAACACGGAGCGTCGCATCTCGGAGGCATCCGCTAAGGGTCTGCTTTATTTAGGGATGGGCGTTTCTGGCGGCGAGGATGGAGCTCGGAATGGCCCTTCTCTCATGCCGGGCGGCTCCCACCAGGCCTACCTTAATGTCCGCGACATCCTGGAGAAGGTAGCTGCCCAGGTGGAGGATGGGCCGTGCGTCACTTACATAGGCGAGGGCGGGTCTGGTAATTTCGTGAAAATGGTCCACAATGGGATCGAATATGGCGACATGCAGCTCATCTCTGAGGCCTATGATGTTCTGAAGAACGTTGGTGGACTGTCCAACTCTGAATTGGCTGACATTTTCGCAGAGTGGAACACAGGAGAGCTCGAAAGCTTCTTGATTGAAATCACTGCAGACATTTTCAATGTAAGAGACGAAGAAGAGACCGGAAACAAGGGGGAGTTGGTAGATAAGATCTTGGATAAGACAGGAATGAAGGGGACTGGGAAATGGACAGTCCAGCAAGCAGCTGAGCTCTCCATTGCAGCTCCGACCATAGCTGCCTCATTGGACAGCCGATACATGAGTGGTTTGAAGGAGGAGAGACAAAATGCCGCTCAGATCTTCAAGAAAGAAGGGCTAGAAGAAGATTTCAGTTCACCTATAAGTGGTGTTGATAAGAAGCGACTGATCGATGATGTGAGGCAGGCACTGTATGCTTCAAAGATTTGCAGCTATGCCCAGGGAATGAATCTGCTGAGGGCAAAGAGTGTTGAGAAGGGATGGGGTTTGAATCTTGGCGAGCTAGCTCGGATATGGAAAGGAGGGTGTATCATCAGAGCTGTTTTCTTGGACAGAATCAAGAAGGCGTACCAGAGGAATCCCGGTTTGGCAAACCTGCTGGTGGACCCAGAGTTTGCGAGAGAAATGGTGGCGAGGCAGGGTGGGTGGAGGAGAGTGGTGGGATTGGCCATTCAAAATGGGATTAGTGTTCCAGGGATGTCAGCTAGCCTCCAGTATTTCGACACCTATAGGCGTTCTAGGCTTCCTGCCAACCTAGTTCAGGCTCAAAGGGACTACTTTGGGGCACATACCTATGAGAGGGTCGACAAGGAAGGGGCGTTTCACACTGAGTGGTCTAAGCTTGCTAGGAAGGCTAGGATTTGATGGAACCGGATGCCAATTCATATCGTTCGGTGATGTTCACTTTGCCCTTTTTTTACCATTGCTTGCACTACATCAATGTGTTGTTACAGAAACTCTCTTGAACTTAGGCATTTCTTTTCGAGAAGCTTTATTTATTCCTTAGCTTTTGTCCTTTGATTTTTGCAGTGAATAAGACGCGTTAATGCTCTTTTGATATGAGTGATAAATATGGTTTGTTTCTTTATATGACTGAACTAATTATAAAGTAATTCTGGAATCAGACCACTTGTTATTGCACTTAAAGTGACATTGGTTTCTTATGAAGATCTGTCATAACCATTCTAAGGCCAATTAGTGTCTTGTTTGGGATCAGAACTATTATGAAACACATTCTTTGGCACCAGATCCTTTCTAGGCCAAATAATATTGAGTAGTGCTGGCTTTCATTTTGGAAACAGCCTCTCTACTTTCGAGTAGGGGTCAGTGTACACGCACCCTCCCTAGACCCTACTCGTGTGGGATGCAACTGGATCGTTGTTGTTGTAGTGCTGGCTTTCATGTTAACACCTTTGACCTTGTTTTTAGCTTTCATTTCATGAACCACATTTTGTTACCATTAGACCCCTCTTGCTAAGCTCTGCCCTTTCTGCTTCAACTCAGCACAGAAAAAACTAACAAGTCATTCTATTAGTTTCCATTCACAAGAACCAAGTCCTCATCCGAAACAAGTTCCCACAGCCAAAACTTGCGTTCCCTACACTGAATGTGTGAGTCTCGTTAGATTTGCTAACAAAAGGTTATCCTCTGGCTTTGCCCTTGCTGCGAATTCAATCTCTCGACCAATAACGGAATTACTGACTCATTCTCTCTCTGCCCTAAAAAGAGCCCGAAATGTTGGCATACACTCCGTTGATCCCTCCAGCATCAGGCTGTAAAAGATTGCCTCAATTCCTGCAAGTGGCAGTTTGAACACTTCTTCTTGGCACCAAACAGGAATTCACATCAAATTAGCAAGAAAAGTACAAGAAACGGAGTGAATAGGAAACAATAGGGGATGAGGAATTAAAAACCCTAAAATCCGTAAGAAAACTAACCATCATTATCCTCATTGGTTTCTTCTCTGGGCCGCTTGCCTATGCACTTCGGATCAGCCCCACAGCTAAGGCCCTCACAGGCCACAGCCGGGGTTGGAGCTGGGCAAACCAGGCAGAATCTCGACCCTCAGAATCCGGTCGGAGAAGTTCTGGTCGTTAAAGGCAAATACAAAGCCTCGACCAGGGCCTACTCGGCAGTGACCCGGGGGGGG